TCATTTGTATTGTGTGACATTCATGTGGACGGCAAAGTAAGAATTTCATTGTAGAGGGAAACACGTTTCCTAACTGTGCATATGACAAAATAAACACTTTGACCTGGAAGTTTGTCCAATAGTTCTATAAGCGGTGAGAAAGTTCCTCTACTCTGAAAGCGCCTAAAGCGACACTGTGGTCTAATAGCTAACTCATTTGTGCTGTTTGCTGACCAACAACAGCCAGGCCCTGCGGCAATATATAGAAACTGAGAAATCCTGAATTTGTGTACTGAGAGGTTGTTGACTTTGCATGTTTTTGTAACCCTGAAGAAGACCCAGGTAATCCTTGGTAGCCAACAGCTTGTTTAGACCAACTGCAGAGCTAACAGTGACAAGGACAATGCACACAGACAATTTTGAGACAGTTGGGAAACCTGTTCTCCTTTTTTGACCGAGGCCGGCAGTTTCCTCATGTCTACTTTTTATGCTACACTAGAGTGGGGAGCCTTTTACATGCCTGTGCCCAGGGGCTCACTGTGTCATGATCTGTCCATTAATGGAACATATTTCTTTACTGGGCACATTAACATAAAACTATCAATCTTCTCATCTAACGTCTAATAAGAAAGTTACCTATCCCATTTCCCACGATGTTGGGATTTATACAGCTCAACAGCTGTCCAACAGAAAAAACAACCTAATACTAAGCTAGGTTATTACAACACTGCTACTAGCTTGAATATTAACTATTTAAATCCTTTGCCTGTTTACTTTTGATGGAGCTTAACCAACAGATTCCGTCTGCTTTCAGTGTTTGTGCTATGATCACCTGATCGCAACCTTGACAAATCCCACACAAACACTTCTACGATTCAATTCACAAGTGAGTTTTTGACATTTTAATTTGAGAAAAAAATGAAACAACTACAATTAATTAATTGCTGAACCATTCCGCCACTGGATAACCCAGGCTTTTGAAGTTTTGCTTGTTTGGAAAAGGCCCCGTTAAAAAGAGCATCGATGTGTTACACAGATGCTGTGGTGTATGTTTGTAACTATTTTCTCTCATACTCAGATGTGTGCGCGCGTGTGTTTACCTGTCGCAGTGGTTGCACTTGAATGGCTTTGCTCCAGTATGTTTGCGGTAGTGTCGTGTCAGCTCATCACTGCGGGCAAAACGCCATTCGCAGCCTTCCCATGAGCACTTATAGGGCTTCTCACCTGAGAGAGAGAGAGAAAGAGATGAGGTGTCACATTTTATTATAATTTCTACAGCTAATTTCACCCGTCTCAACTGCAGCTGTTCACTAATGTACAGGTTACCACCCTTGGCTTCTTCCAACCCCCACCCCCCCACCCACAGGCCAGGGGCCAAGCAGACGGTCCAGTTTTAAAACAAAAGTCATTTCAATGAGCCAATACACTCAATTAGCTGTAAATGAAGTCTTTCAGCACTGTGACATGTTAATTCATAATCCCAAATTCACCCTGAAATGAACTGTTTTGTTCACTCTTTCACCAACCATCCGCCCCCCTGCCCACACTCACACACACACACACACACACACACACCCTTAGGTGGTGGGATCTGAAATGTAAATGGAGTTTCATCCCCCAGTTCACCAGATGGGAGAAGAGATGGTCTATTGTTCTCAACCTGTAGTTATCTTGCTAGATGATAGAAAGCCTTCCAGCTGTGTGCCTGTGTGTGTGCCTGTGTGTGTGTGTGTGTCTTTGGTTAGAGGTGAGTGTGTGCACTGTGCAGGAGCAGACTGTCTTCAGATGGGATTTGATGTCTGTGTTAATGCCTGTGTGAGAGTGTTTCTCACTGTGACTTGCACCAAATCACACAGCACCCTAAAAATTAACACTACACCCTAATAATAGAAAAGAAGGAAGGAATAATATGTTTGTCTCTATTAAGATGCTGAGCTCCATCAATCTGCTACACAGTAGGTAAAGCTGTACCCAAAACATATTTACATTAGGGATGTCCTGATCCAGGTATTATTGGCCCTGATACAAATCTGATTTAACTATCTGAGAATACTAATTCCTATCAGGTACTTGTATTAAATGTGTTTTTCATGTACAACTGTACTTCTGTGCCTCTGTTCTGCATTGTAGGAAAACTACACTTGTCATGGAACACAACACCCCCCTGCTCGGTGTTTCACAGGAAACACTGAAAGGTTTCTTTGCTGACATGACCTTGGTTGCGTTTAGTTGCTTAATTTCATTTTGAGTATGCCACTTTGTTCATGTTCCTGTGGGACTGCAACATGTAGTTTGAACAACTTGACCCTGGCCACATAATTAAGACTTGATGTTTTTGTGCATAATGTACAACATGTTAATGGTCACGGATTTGGTTTCTTGCAAGCAACATTACATTTTGAATCCCATCAGTGCATCCCAGAAACAACACTCCACCTTCCACCTCCACCCACAACCGGCATGTGTGTAGAAGAAACTGGCCGAACCAACCCTGCAGACCCCGAGTGCGTGCCACTCTATGTCATGTGCGTGTGTGTAAACTGGGGGTAGTAACTATAATTGGAGTCCTAATGACTCTTAATAGGGGAGTAATACTGCAGCTTACAGTCGGTCAGCCAGGTGTCTCAGCAGCGCCCCCACTCCCATCAAAGCACACACCAATCTTCGTAAAGAGACTGATACAAACACCCATTCAGAGCAACGTGGAGCTAATGTGAAAACTTTATGGTGGAAACATAATGAAGGATGTGTAAATAATGGGGGCATCTTTCATTTGCACATTAAGAACAGAATGGAAACCGTCTTCCCCGTCAGGGTGGTCTCTGCTCAGGTTTGTTCTGTAATTCTAATGCTATGAATTAAGGTGATGCCATAAAAATAGTTTTAAAAACTGAAAAGAAACAAAGTGAGACCATAAATGGCAGCAAATACTATTTGTTCATTAGTGTAATGTCTCCAGACTTCTCAATCTACATCTCAGCTTTTTCAGCAATCCAAATAATTTTGTCATGCTCATTGTCTGCTGTTTTCCCAAATGGAAAAAACTGGAGTTAATCAAACCACTGCTGGTGGAAGTAACAGCGCGGTCGCCATCTTCTTGTGGCGGAGCCAGAAAAATGGTGATAAGCGTGTTTAAAATTGATGCAGCTGTCAACCTACCAAAGTAACACCTCTTAAACTGACATAATCCTTCAACATTACAAACTCATTAACCACTAAAACAGTGGAAATGAACATGTCAGACAAACACAGTGAAACTGTTACCGATACTAATGCTGCTTTTTAAATGATGTGATCTTGTAACACCTTCTGTAAAATGTTGAAACACACTAGTGAGAATATTTTTGCAATACACACAAAAATCTCAGTGCTACAGATGCAGCTTCTTTTTCCCATCTTCTTGTACCTTTCTTCCTCCTCCTGAACCACACCACAGGGCACGAGGTCTCCATCACACCAAGAGGCAAGAGGAGTAGTAAATGTGAGATTGCTTTTCTGAACTTTAATTGCTTTAATTCGCCATGTTGAACCATGGTGCACCAAGGTGTACTTCACAAGGTGAAACGTCTGAGGCGCAGAGCAGCTCTGAGGGCAAGGTGATGCAACGACAAGTAAAAGAGGATGTGCTACAGGAACATCCAGCTGTGATGCCCTCTTCCCCAGCATTTCCTCCAGTTCCTTCATCTCTTTGATCCGAGTCGTCTTTCATCCACAGACACAAAGTGGCTGCAGGGTGACGCAATTGTTCTCGGACTAAATGGATTCCAGATCAAGCTGCGCTCTTCTGGATTTGTATATTTAAACCCTCCAGTCAAATCTCGTGCAGACGGTTGATGGATTTCCACAGCAGGGGTTTGGGTTTTGCCGCTGTCTCACCATCATACATTTTTGAAGACCGGTCTTCTTGTGCCACACATCTGTAACTTTTGAACTGATTATGCTCCTGGACAGTGCATCCTGGGGTTACATGGAAATGAAGTCCCACCGCTCCTAGCTACTGCAGCGTCCGCTCTGGCTTTTGTAGTTCACTGCACTTTGTCATTAGAGTTACTATCAATGTAGCTTTGTTTTTTTTTGGAAACATGACATTTTCAATCCATGTGGTCATAAAATTACTGCATGTTGCTATACAAACATTTATCTGTTGGTGTGTAAACTATTTCAAATTTTGTTGCAATAAACAACAGTTTGCCATCAGACTCCTAAACAGCTGACAGGAGTTTATTACCAGGAAATGCGTCATGTACTGTCGACCTGTACCGTTTACATTCTCAGTTTGCACATGAATAATTGCACATTCACTGTTGACTGCTGCACATACAGCTGTCATGTATAGTATACATTCTTTATTATATTCTTATATATTTTTATCATATCTCTTCATTTGCTGCTTTAAAGTGCCTTAGATTTTGTGTTATTTATTTATCTACTTTTATATTTTGTGGCATTCATGTGGACGGTGAAGGAACAATTTCATTGTACAGGGAAACACGCTTCCCTACTGTGCATATGACAATAAACACTGACTCGACTTGACTTGCATGACAGTTAGAAGAGGAAGTCAGTTTATTATATAGGTCTGTTATATAACTACTGCATATGTAAAGAAGCCAGAGACCCAAAGTCAGACTATGAGTTTTAAATGAAGCTATGAGACATTAACTGCTACTAGTGTAACATACCTGACAAAGAGATGTATGTGGTCAAGTTGCATTGTGATTAATGTAGACACCAGAGAGAATTTGTGAAATAGAAAAGGACAGTGTGGTTCAGCTGCTTTGTTGTTCATGCTTTTCACAAACCTTGCACCATGAATCTTACAGTATTTTAGAAGTGCAACACAAAATGAGTGGAGCACATTGTTTTCAACACTGGCATGCAGTAAAAGGCTCATTGAAGACTATGAAAGCCTGATGGGTTGTCACAAAGAGTTGTGAGCTTGTCTGTCAATTAGGTGCATCAGCTGCAGTAATGAAGGTTTTATATTGACCCATGATAATGAAGGAAGACTTTCATGTGTTGATCCTCTGGGAGGAGCTTGAAGAACTTGCCGGTGAAACATGTTGTGTATTGTCGTTACATGGCACCTCAGAGATGTCCACAAGTCACAAAATGCAAGCTGTGTCAAATCTGAAGTCCATGAGTTGCACCATACATGCCATGTCGTCACTGTGACCAGGAGGGAGGGACGGTCAGCAGAGTCCTGATGCTGGACTTTTAAAGTTAAGTTTTAGTTTTTTACATAAACATTTTGTGATGAAGTCAGAACAAGGGTAATTTACAGTTAAACTTTAGTGTTAAAATGACAGCTAAATATTTAACAAGCACTTAAAACCAAAGTTTAGTGAACTCAATCTGGGAAAGATGAAATACAGTATACACTAACTAAAACATTCAGTGCTGCAGTTTTCTGATGTGCAACTTGATTTTCTATATCAGCATTAAATGTATATTGGCCAGTGTAACTATAAGTCTTAACTGACTGATAACGGCTGACTGATGTATTGGTTTGACTGAATTGGTCAAGATTAAATTTGGTTATTTCTCTGTTCTTGTTCATTCTAATTCATCCCATCTATTGCAGTTAAATGAGATGAATTATGAGAGACCAAGACAGTTGCAATCAATACAAGAATTCTCCTGAATAGAGAAGGTTCCAAACATTTTGCTGCCTTTGAAGGTACAGAAACAAATCCTCTGTTTTTGTAAAGACCCACAATCCTCTGGTGCAGTAGTGAAAAGTCTGACAGCATGTGAATCTAAAACAGATTCTAGTTCTGTAAAGAGCCAAAAGCCACCGTGCACAATGTTTAGGGGCAGATTTTGTATGTGTGAATCCTCCTACTCACTCCACACAGTCCTCCTCACTCAGGACTGAACACAGGACCAATATTTTCAACATACAATAGCAAACCACTTGGCAGCTTATCCTCTAGGCCTGTTGGAGAAATGCTACACTATCAAACTACGTGTGTGCGTGTGTGTGATATGGGGGCCACAGGTGCCAGACAGGCGGCCGTTTCACACCCGTCTTCTGTAATTGGCCAGAGCACCCCATTTTCCATCAATAGGACCCCCCTCAAACACACACACACACACTGAAATGAAGCAAGGCCAGCCTGGGCCTGACGCCACAGCAACCATGACGCCAGCCAATTATAGCACGGCAAGGCAAGGATGCATGATAAAGTCACCTAGCAACTGAGAGAAAGGGGGTGGGAAGAGGGTGGTGGGTGAGAGAGAGAGAGATAGAGAGAGATTAACAGGCATGGACAATCCACCAACCACCAGCCAATTATGGAAGAGTGTGATGCAGTTGCCTGGCAACCCAAAGTGAATGAGGAAGAGAGAGAATGCACAGGCTGGAGGTTGGATTCAGTGGGTGTAGAGGAGTACAGAGGTACATGTGTGTATGGAGATGTGGGGTTACTGCAGATGAGTCCACATGAAGCTGTGGAGGGCCTAATGAGGGTGGGGGCACAGCAGGGGTCGAGGTCTTGGAAAGCCAGACTCAGTGGTGGAAGAAGTCCTCAGATCCTGTAGTTAAGTAAAGTAGCAATACCACAGTGTAAAAATACTGTGTGAAAGTCCTGATTTCAAAATGTTACTTCAGTAAAAGCACAAAGGTATTGGCTTAAAAATATACTTGAAATCCCAAAGTAAAAGTCCTAATTATGCAGAATGCCTACTGGATTTTAATTATTGATTTACTATTATGCACATCACATTTAATGTTGCAGCTGGTAAAGGTGGCGCTAATGCCAAATACCTTAAAATGGAATTATTTTACACAACGCTGTGTAGCTAGTGAATTTCCCACCAGGGGTCAATAAAAACGGATTATACTGTATTTAGTTTTGTTGATCTGATTCTCAGAATCAAAAGAAGAATCAGCTTTATTGGCCAGGTGTGTTGGACACAAGGAATTTGACTCAGGTACATCAGCTCTCGATGTGCATGTACATATCCCCATGCAAGTAAACAGTAAACCAACATAAGGCTGTGGAGTATAACAAAATAAAAAGTATAAATAGGCAGTAAACAATGCAGACAAAGGAACGTTCATTAGGAAACGAGATAACAGAATAAAAATGGAGTACTTAAAAATAAAAATATAGAGACCTGTATGGATCTGTATAATCTGTACAATGTATATTTACCGACATTGCACTGAGGGTTATTGTCCAGTCATACTGTCGTGGGTTAAGTGTTCATCAGAATGACAGCCTGGGGGAAGAAACTGTCACTGTGCCTGAAAAATTCTGAATTCTGAAAAGTAACTAAAGTTATCAAATTAATGCAGTGCAGTAAAAAGCACAATATTTGCCCCTAAAATTTTGCGAAGTCGAAGTATAACGTAGCATAAAATGTCACTACTCTAGTAAAATACAAATACATACTGTACTTGAGTAAATGTACTTTCCTCCACTAGACACACTCAAGCTGGAGTGAACGTGACAGCTTTTTAACCCGTAAAGAACATATCGCATATCTTTACAGTGCAACAAATCATTTTGCAATTTGACTTTGTTTTGTTATACAAGAGTCTGTTGATTTTCAAAATCATTTAGCACATGTTGGAAATGAACTTTTTTGTCAAATTTACAGTATTACTGTGAGGTTGTGCATTAATCTAGTCACTGTGGTTGCAAGCCAGTGACTTCTGTGCTGGTCCCAAGCCTGGATAAATAGAGAGGGTTGCGTCAAGAAGGGCATCCGGCGTAAAAACATGCCAAATTTAAACATGTGAATCATCAGTGCGAATTCCATACCGGATCGGTCGAGGCCCGGGTTAACAACGACCACCACCAGTGCTATTGACCTACAGGGTGCTGGTGGAAATTGGACTACTGTT